TCTAATAATATTTACCCCAACAGTTTCAGAACATCTAAACAGTCGCTATACCTAGAGAAGAAATGTTTATAAAATTATCTCACAAGTAGAAGCAACAGTATCAGTCAATTAGCTGAATCTATTATTCTCTTAACTATTACATAAGCCAATGTTGCTTTCTCAATTTAACAGCACTGACTGACGGCCAGAATTATTGACACTTGTTATTTTGAGAAAAATATGGCGGGCACTTCTTGGTTATATAATTAATGATAATTATAAAATTTAATGGTTGAAGTCATTTCTTTGGATTTTGCAACAAAAATTCCATATCTGACAAGGTCCACTATCTATTCCCATCATGTGGGTTTTTAGATCAACTAAAAAGTAGAGGAAACAATGCTTACACAAGACCACAGTTACTTCTGACACACTCTGCAGGTTTGATGGTCCCCACATTCATCCTCCATTTCAATAATCCCTTAGAAGGACACAGACTCAACCAGAATTGTTTTACCATTGTGGATCATTGTTTTACCATGGTTTATAACAGGGAAAGGATACTGGTTAAAATCAGACAGGATTCAGGAAAAGTACCAAATGTTGGACTTCGGGTTGCTCTCTGGATGATACAACGCATTACTTTCTGAGCATCAGTCAGAGATAATACTCATGAATGCTGTCAGTCAGGGAAGTTCACTCAAGCCTTGGCACACAGAGTTTTACTAGAGCTCCAACATACTGCCTGGATGGTTGATGACTTGTCACCAGCTTCTCCATGGGTCAGTACAAAGCTGACCTGGTACTCCATGGCCCCAATCCCCCACCATAAGTCATTGTCTGGTGGCCAAACCCCTAGGCAAACAAAGACACTTCGTGCTGGCATGGCATTCCAAGGGGTTATAAATCACCTCCTAGCAGCTAAGGACAACTTTGGAAAAAGTTAATTTTTCACCATGCAGGCCACCTTCTAGTCTCTGCCCAGGGCTCTCTTCCAGCATAATAATCACATTAATTACATTTAGTGTAGCATCTACAGGAAGAACACAGCAATTTTACCATTTGAGTATGCCTGGTAGGTAGAGGAGCCTATGTGGGGTAGAGATCAATTTATAGAAACAGTGAGTTCATCCTAGAAAGACATTACATAACATTTTCCTATTTTGCTATGAACGTAATGACTCATTTTTCTCCTCACCAACATCACATTAGGTTGGTCTAATATTTCACTACACATACTCTCTATTTCCACAACATGGGAAAAATCCACATCACTGACAGTGCATACTCCTGTCAAAACTGATTATAGAAATTAGGTTAATTTGTCATACCCAACTAAATCAGAGTTGAGGAGTGAGGAGTAAAAGCACATTCAGAGCATACAGCACCTGCTCCAAGCACTGAGTCCAGCTGCTAAAAATGCTTGCTGCAATCCTAAATCCAATTTAACCCAGCAGCTACTGAAACAACCTGCAAATTCTAAGACTAGTTTTACCTACTGCTATCTCTCACCAATCAGAATTTGCCACCTCCACAAAAGTAATTGCCCAGAAGTATCATGTTCACTAAACATCTGAAAACTCATACAAGAGACAAAACCTATGTAACTTTGTGAATATAGAAAAGGCTCCACTGTGAAGGACAGTCTCATGGCACATCAACCAACCCATACAGAAGAGAAATTCTGTGTTTGTAGTGAGTGTAGAAAGGGCTTTACACTGAAGCACTATCTAATTGCTCATCAATGAACTCATAGTGGAGAGAAACCTTACATGTGTGATGACTGTGGAAAAGGTTTCACTGTGAAGAGCTATCTCATTGTATTTCATTCTCCTGTGTGAATTATCTGGTATGTAATGAGACCATATTTGTATGAGTAAGATTTTTCTATACTCAGCACATACAAAGGGAGTCTTTCCTGTATGACATCTTTCATGTTGTATGAGACATATTTTCTAGTTGAAGGTTTTACCACATTCAATTGCAATTCATAGGGTTTTTCTCCAGTATGAGTTTGCTGCTGTACAATGAGTATGTGTTTTGTGGTGAAGCCTTGGCCACATTCATTGCATATATAAGATTCTTCCCCTATGTGTAATCTCTAATGGCAATGAGATTGCCCTTCATGGTAAAGCCTTTCACATTCATTGCATACATAAGGTTCCTCTCCACTATGAGCTCGTTGGTGAGCAATTAGATAGTGATCATTGTAAAGCCCTTTCCACACTGACGGCATACATAGAATTACTCTTCAGATATGCAATGAGACTATTCTTCAGAGTGGAGTCTTTTCTAGATTCCCTAGTTATATATGATCCTTTACCTCACATTTTCTGTCCATGAAAATACTTTGGATAAACTCTATTTAATATGGAGATGACTTGAGCAATAAATTCTAGCTCATGTATATGAAAATTGTATGCTGAGACAATTTCTGCAAATGCAGAGATTACAAAAAGCCTTCTGTGGACAGACAGACTTTATTATTAGGCAGGTTTTTTTTGTTTTTGTTTTTGTTTTGAGTTGGAGTCTCACTCTGTCACCCAGGCTGGACTAGAGGGCAGTGGCACACTCCCAGTCACTGCAGGCTCAACCTGCTAGGCTCAGACAATCCTTTTGCCTCAGCCTTTCAAGTAGCCAGAACTACAAGTGTGAGCTACCACACCCAGCTAATTTTTTGATTTATTGTGGAGATGAGGTCTCAACATGTTATTCTTAGTAGAAACAGAATCTTACTATACTGCCCAGGCTTATACAGCATTTCATGAGTATCACTTTTCATTTCTCGAAGTATTCATGTGTACAATTGCTGGGACATTTAGTAAGTTGTGATTAGCTTTATAAGAAACTACCAAAACCTCTTCTAGAGTGGCTGTCCTATTTTATATTCCCACCAAGTGTATGAGACTCAACTGTTCTACATCCTCTTCAGCACTTGACATCTTCTCTAGTCTATTTTAGTCATTTTACCAGCCACATAAGAGAATCAGTTACTCTTCATCCTTACCAGCACTTGGTAATGACATTTTACTTTATGTTAACCATTCTATTAGATATGTATGAGTATTTGATACTGGGCTTAAGTTGCATCCCCCCAAGGCCAATGATGTTGAACACTTTTTTTTTGAGCTGGAGTTTCACTGTTGCCTAGGCTGGAGTGCAGTGGCTCGCTCACGGCCACCACAGCCTCGACCTGCTAGGTTCAGGCAATCTTTCCACCTCACCTTCCAAGTAGCTGAAACTACAGGTATGAGCCACCGCACATGGCTAATTTTTTCTTTTTAATTGTAGAGATGAGATCTTGCCAAGTTGCTCACATTGGTCTCGAACCCCTGGGTTCAGGCAATCCTCTCACCTTGGCCTCCCAAAATGCAGGGATTATATGCATGAACCACTATGACTGGGCTGATGTTGAACACATTTTTATCACTCCTTTGCCATTTTTTTATAACCTTTGTTGAAATGTTAGTTCCAGTTTGGCCCATTTTCTACTTGGGTTGTTTTCTTGCTATGTAGTTTTATAGTGTTTGCTTTTATATATCGTTGTCTAATTTTCTTTTACATGCATATATTTTTAAGTTGGATTTGAGACTTCTCTTTGATTCATGCAGTATTTAGATGTACTGTTTAATTCAAGTGATTGGAAATTCTCCTAGTTTTCTACTTTGATTTCTGGTTATAATTGATTTTGATCAGAGATCATATTTTCAACTATTTTAAAGCTGTGTCTGTTTTTTGGCACAGAATGTAATTTTCTTTTCCTGATTAATTGACCCTTTTATCATGTGTTATGGCCCATTTGTTATTGGTAATTATTTTTCCTCTCAAGGTTTTTTCTAATAGAATACACTTATTCCCATTTTCTTTTCTTTGTTTTTGCTTTTGTTTAAGAGTCTCTGTCACCCAGGTTGGAGTGCAGTGGCACACTCATGGCTGCTACAGCCTCGACCTGCTGGGCTCCAGTGATCCTTCTGCCTCAGTTTTCTAAGTAGCTAGAACCACAGGCGTGCACCACCATGCCCACCTAATTTTTTGATTTATTGTAGAGATGAGGGCTCGCCAAGTTGCCCAGGTTGGTCTTGAACTCGTGGGCTCAGGAATCCTCTCACTTTAGCCCGCCAAAGTGCTGGGATGACAGGCATGAGCCACCGCGCCCGGCCTGGAGTAAATTTTTTATAAAGAGGATCATGTTGAATCATATTTATAAAATGCATTTGTTCAATCTCTTTGATAAGCAAAACTCGTCCAGTTTTACTGGTCTTTCTTCCCCCCATGCCTTTCATCCAACACATCATTTTGGCGCCCTCCAGCCGTTTTCAATTCCTTGTCTGTGGCCTCTATCCCCATACCGTCAGACCTTCCCCCGACCCTGTTGTGTTCAAAAGTCGCCTCCAGATACTTTTTTTGCTAGAAATCAGGTCAAGGTATCCTCTCTCTGGGCAGGTTCGCCTCTCGCATACCAAGGGCTGCGCCCGCTGGGCTGTTCCCCAACCACCGCGCAAAGTAGACGAAGTTCGCGGCCATCTTAGTTTTCTGCTTTGCTGCGGAAAGAGATTACCACCATGCAGTTTTTGCCTTGTGTACGCTGAAGCCTGTGTGCCTAGCTCCATATTTATGAATGATTCAGGTGCCAGGAAATGCGACCGTTTCAGCACCTCTTTAGCTTCCAAGTCGTGTCCGGTCCCCAGGACAGCCCCTTTGCCTTCCGTACGTAAGATACTCAAAGATGGCCGCCCCCAAGGCGGCGGAAAAGGGCGCGGCCATCTTACTTCCGGGTCAACGCCGGCAACAAGGCTGTTTCGCCTCTGACCCTCGTTAGCCGCCGTAGGGCAGTGAGGGGACTGCGCGCCAAAGCCAGGAGCAAGGTAAGTTCGAGGCAGTCCTTTTAGCACCGTGGGCGGGGGGGGCTTGGGGGTGTCGCTGTGGCGATCGGAGGATGTTAGGTCCGTGGCTGGGTCAGTAGTGGACAATGGGGACGGGCGGGCTCTTTGGACTCCGCGACTGTGACGAGAGCGGGGAGCATGTCGTGGCTGCGTCTTCCCTTGCCTGGGAGCTCCAAGGGGCCCGTCGTCGGGTACGCGCGACGGTGGGGCTCTGGCATCCTCCGCGAGGTCCTCTCGCGGCGGGAGGTTCAAGGCCTCCAGAGCCCGATCGCCAAGGCCCGATCACCCCGTCTGGGTGTCTTGGCTGTCGACCGTGTGCGGGGCTCGGGGACTGTGAACTGGAGGGCCTGTTTGTTGGCGACCGCGGTCCGGGGGCAGGTTGTGTCTGGGGCGGAACGAGGGGCTGCTCCGGAGTTTCAGGTTCGGAGGTTTCTGGCCCGGCTTTTGCGAGGTAGCCGGGCGGCAGGCGGGGCTCGTGGACGGATGTGCGCTTGCGCTGCAGCTCTAGCGACCTGGGTACCACGTGGGGGAGGGAGGAAGGATGCTGAGCTCCATCCTGTCTTGTCTGCTGAAAGAGGCTTGATGGATGTGAACGTTCCCCTTCTGTTCACAACCTTCTCCACCACCCCACATCATCCCTTACTCTTGATCCCTCAGACATGGAAGTTTTTGGCAAGATTAATGACCAAACATATTTACAAGTGGTATGTTTGTGGCCTGGTGCCGTGGCTCACGCCTGTAAGGCCAGCATTTTGGGAGGCTGGGGCAGGAGGGTTGCTTGAGGCCAAGAGTTCGAGACCCGCCTGGACAACCTGGTGAGACTTCATCTCTACAAAAAATTTAAAAATTAGGCCGGGCGCGATGACTCACGCCTATAATCCCAGCACTTGGGAGGCCAAGGTGAGAGGATTGCCTGAGCCCACGGGTTCAAGACCAACCTGGGCTACTTGGTGAGCCCTTGTCTCTACAATAAATTAAAAATATTAGCCGGGCATGGTAGTTCATGCCTGTGGTTCGGGCAACTTGGAAGGCTGAGGCAGAAGGATTGCCTGAACCCAACAGGTCAAGGCTGCGGTGGCTGCGAGCGTGCCCTTGCACTCCAGCCTGAGCGAAAGAGTGAGATTCCTACTCAAAAAAAAAAAATTTTTTTTCAAAATTAGTTGGACATAGTGGTGCACACTTATAGTCCCAGCTGCTCAGCAGGCTGAGGTGGGAGGATCACCTGAGCCCAGGAGTTTGAGGCTGCATTGAGCGGTGATCCATCCTGCCATTGCAGTGTAGTTGGGGCAACAAAGTGAAACACCTAACTCTAAAATAAAATTAAAAGTGGGATGTTTAAATTTAAGATGCAGCCTTTTCCCTTTTTCCTGCAAGTTTTCATCATATTCCCCTTGGATATTTCTTTTCAGACTCTTACATCAAGAAAGATATCATCTCTATCATGGTAAGTTCTGTTATTCAAAGATAACTGTTTTCAAGTTTTTAGAATATTTCCATTATAAACTTGTATGTTATGTGCTTAATATGTACTTATTTATAAAGTTATGTAAATAATGCTGTTGTTTACTTTTTCACTTTATAAGGTGTAACAAACATTTACAAGTTGTTTTTAATGTTTGAACTGGTAGCATTATAAGTGAATTCACATTGTTTGTGCTTTCATTTGGGTAGAGATGAAATGTTTAAAAATATTTAGATATCATTTATAGGAACATTTTATGAATATGCATTTACCTATGGGTTTGGATTCCTGCCTTTCATCTCCAGTCTAGACTATTTACTTTTATTGCGGTGTGTTATTATTTTTGACTCCCCTTTCCTTACATTCTTCTATAACACAAAGTGAATTTTAGATATTTAATTTACACTTGATCACCTTACTTAATTCTTTTTTTTTATTATAAAGATGTGGGGTACAATTCAGGGTTAGGTATACAAATGTTGATTATGCAGGTGCCCTTGTTGATGAGGTGTGCCCCTCCCTCCCCTACAGTTTCCCACTACTGTCAATCTCTTTCTTATAGTATTATAATTGTTCAAGTTCCACTTATGAGTGAGAGCATATGGTACTCTGTTCTTTGTTTCTGTGATAGATCACTGAATATGATCGACTCTAAATCCACCGTTGCTGCGAAGTCCATATATTTGTCCTTCTTTATGGCTGCATGATATTTCGTTGTGTATATGTACCACATCTTTTTTATCCAGTTCAGCTTCAATAGGCAACATGGTGGTTCAATGTTTTTGCTATTGTGAATAGAGCTGCAACAAACATACGTATGCAGGTATCTTTTTTGTAGAGTGATTTGAGTTCCTCCGGGTATATTCCCAATAGGGAAATTGTTGGGTCATATGGAAGGTCAATTTCTAGATCTTTCAAAAATCACCACACTGTCTTCCAAAGAGGTTGCACTAGTTTGCATTCCCACCAGCAGTGTAAAAGTGTTCCTTTTCCTCCACATCCTTGCCAGCATCTGTTGTTGTTTGTGTTATTAATGATGGCCATTCTCACTGGGGTTCGGTGGTATCTCAATGTAGTTTTGATTTGCATTTCTCTGATGATGAGTGAGGCTGAGCACTTTTTCATGTGTCTGTTAACTGCCCGTATATCTTCTTCTGAGAAATGTCTATTCATGTCTTTTGCCCACTTTTAAATGAAGCTGTTTGGTTTTTTTTCCTTTCTGCATGTTTGAGTTCCTTGTAGATACTAGATGTTAGGCCTTTGTCAGATATACAGTTGGCAAATATTTTTTCTCATTCTGTAGGCTGTCTCCCTGCTCTCTTGATGGTTTATTTTGCTTTGCAGATGCTCGTTAGTTTGATGAAGTCCCACTTGTCTATCTTATTTCTCAAGGTATTGGCCTTTAGAGTTCTGAATAGGAATTGGTTGCCAGTTCCAATTTCCATAAGGATGTCTCCTGCGCATTCTAAGATTCTTACAGTTTGAGGTTTTATGTTTTTAGGTCTTTGATCCACTTAGAGTTAACTTCTGTCTATGGTGAAAGGTAGGGGTCCTGTTTCAATATTCTGCATGTGGTCAGCCAGTTTTCCCAGCACCATTTACTGAATAGTTCTCCTCTCCCCAGTGGTTGTTGTTGGAGGTTTTGTCAAAGATGAGTTGGTTGAGGAATTGGGGCTTTGCTTCCGGAATCTCTATCCTGTACCATTGGTCCTTGTGCCTGTTCTTGTACCAGTACCAAGCTGTTTTGATTACTGTAGCCTTATAGTAAAGTTTAAAGTCTGGAAGTGTGATATCTCCTGCTAGGTTTCTTTTCCTAAGGATTGTTTTGGCTATTCATGGTCATTTATGTTTCCATATGAATTTCTGTATTGCCATTTCCAGGTCTGTGAAGAATGATATTGGTAACTTAATGGGTATTGCGTTGAATCTGTGGATTGCCTTTGGTAGGATGGACATTGTAACAGTGTTGATTCTTCCTATCCATGAGTATGGAATATTTTTCCATTTGTTTGTGTCTTCTTGAATTTCTTTGAGCAGTGTTTTGTAGTTCTCATTGTGAAGGTCTTTCACTTCTCTGGTTAGGTAGATGCCGAGGTATTTCTTTCTTTCTTTCTTTTTTTTTGTGGCTTTTGTGAATGGGATTGTGCTTTTTATTTGGGTTTCTGCCTGCTTACTGTTGGTGTATAGGAATGCAACTGTTTTTTGCATGTTTATTTTGTACCCTGAGACTTTGCCAAAGTTCTCCATCAGTGCAAGCAGGTTTTGACAGTTTCTCTTGGATTTTCAAGGTATAGGATCATATCATCAGCAAAGAGGGATAACTTGACTTCCTCTTTTCCTATTTAGATACCCCTGATTTCCTTCTCTTGTGTAATTGCCTGAGCTAGGACTTCCAACACAATATTGAACAAGAGGGGTGAGAGTGGGCAGCCTTGTCTTGTTCCAGTTTTCAGGGGAAATGTTTCCAGTTTCTGTCCATTTAGCATTATGTTAGCTGTGGGTTTATCATAGATGGCACTTACTATTTTGAGGTATGTTCTTTCTATATCTGGATGTTTGAGGGTTTTTAATCAAGAAGGGATGCTGGACTTTATAAAAAGCTTTTTCTGCATCTAATGCAATAATCATGTGGTTCTTGTTTTTACATTTGTTGGTGTATTTAATTACATATATGGTCTTGCGAATGTTGAACATGCCCTGCATCCTGGGGATGAAATCTACTTGTTCATGTTCGATGATTTTTAAGATGTGTTTTTGGATCTAATTTGCTAGAATCTTGTTGAGAATTTTTGCATCCCTGTTCATAAGGGATATTGCCCTGTTGTTCTCTTTTTTTGTTGGATCAGTACCAAGTTTGAGTATCAGTGTGATGTTAGCCTCATAAAATGATTTGGGGAGAATTCCATCTTTCTCAATTACCTGGAATACTTTCAATAGGATTGGTATCAGCTCCTCCTTGTACGTTTTGAAGAATTCTGTTGGAAGCCATCTTGTCCAGGGCCTTTTTTTGTAAGTAGTTTTCTTATGACAGAGTCAATTTCCTGGGTTGTTATTTGTTTATTTAGTGTCTCGGTGTCTTCTTGTTTCAACCTGGGGAGATTGTGTGATGTCAGAAAGTCCTCCATTTCATTTTGGTTATCAAGTTTGTTTCCATATAGGTGTACATAGTAATCTCTGATAATCTTTTGTACTTCTTCAGGGTCAGTTGTGATTTGATCTTTTTATTTCTCATTGTGTTTATTTGGGCTTTTTCTCTCTTTTTCTTGGTCATTCTGGCTAGGGGTCCATCAATCTTGTTAATTCTTTCAAAGAACCAGCCTTTTTTTCTGTTGATGTTTTCTATGATATTTTTGTCTTCTATATTCTGTATTTGGGCCCTTGTTTGGGTGATTTCGATTCTTCTGCTAAAGTTGGGGTGTTGTTGGCCTTCTCTTTCCAGCTCCCTTAAGTGATTTGTTAGGCTCTCCACTTGTGATTTTTCCATTTTCTTGATGTGTGCTTGTAGAGATATAAATTCCCCTCTTAGAACTGTTTTCATGGCATCCCAGAGGTTTTGGTAAGATGTTTCTTCGTTTTTGTTTGTTTCCAGGAATCTTTTTTTTTTTTTTTTTTTTGACTTGGAGTCTCACTGTCGCTCAGACTGGAGTGCAGTGGTTGCTCTTGGCCACCACAGTCTCAACCTGCTGGGCTCTGGTGATCCTTCCACCTCAGCCTTCCAAGTAGCTGGAACTACAGGCACGCGCTACCATGCCCGGCTAATTTTTTTGATTTATTGTAGAGATGAGGTCTCGCCAAGTTCCCCAGGGAGGTCTCAAACCCGTGGGCTCAGGCAATCCACTCACCTCGGCCTCCCAAAGCGCGGGATTACAGGCTGAGCCACCGAGCCCAGCCCAGGAATCTTTTAATTTCTGTTTTGACTTCATTGTTGACCCAGTAGTTGTTCAGCATCATGCTGTTTAGTGTCCATGTCTTTGTGACCTTTGGGGAAATGTTGTTGGTGTTGATATTTATTTTTATTCCATTGTTGTCTGAGAATGTACATGGCAAGATTTCCACCTTATGGAATCTGTTTGTGCTTGATTTATGGCCAAGGATGTGATCAATCTTGAATTACATTCCATGTGGGGGTGAGTAGATATATATTCTGTGGTTGTTGGGTGGAATAATCTGTAGGTATCTATTAAGTCTATTTGGTCAAGTGTCAAGTTTAAGTTCTGGATCTCCTTGTTGATTTTTTGCCTC